GGAAATTACTTAATCACTCTATAATCCAGCTCAGCCTTTTGAGAAGATGTGGATAACACTGTTTTTCTCTGCCTCAAAGTGAATCATTCATTCAAAGAAAAACATGTTGGGCATCTATTATATAAATATAAAAGGTACTGGTTTAAGAATTAGCTTACTTTTTTAAAACTTAATACTGATTGCTCTTTTAACTTGAGTTTTTGTTGATAAAGAAAAAAAAATCACTTGTGATCTGTTAAACCAGAACATGACTGGAGATCAGGAGTCTCGAGCCCTGACCTGATTTTGCTGCAGTTATTTAGCAAAATAACTGACCCTGGGGGAGGCATGCCCCTTCCTGAATTGGATGGTTTCATTTCCCCTAAGTGGAGAGGTTGAGGTTATGTGATCTCTGAAGTTTTATCTGTATCTGAGTTTTTACTGTTTGGAGATCAGATTCATGTAGCATTTTTTTCCGCACATTTTTTTTTACAATCTCCACTTGCCAGCTTATAGACATGGGGTCCATTTTTAGGCTGGATTAAAGACATGTCACAAAATCAGAAGACTGTTTAAAATGTATGTGATATTTTAGAGAACAATGCTAAGTGTACTCACCTAGGTAAAAAAAAAAAGAATATTGCAAGTATTTATAAAAGTGACTTCCAGACTTTAATGTGAATATGATACACCTGTAGATCTTATTAAATGCAGGTTCTGATTCAGAAGGTGTTGGTGGAGTGTGTGATTCTGCACTTCTAGCCACTGGAAGGGGATGTCGGTGCCTCTGGTCCATGGACCACTGTTTGAGTAGCAGGGCTTCGGAATCCCTGACATGCTTCTCCACAATCACATTTCTCTCCTTCCTCTGCCTTTTCTTTTTCTTCTGGGTTTTGTCTGTTGAATATGTATTTCTGAACAATATATTTGTATACCTTTTGGAAACCTAAGTAGCAAGTTCAAACCTAGCTGTGAAAGGAATTTCGGGCTCTCGGGAGAAAAACCGAATGGGTTTCTGATTCATGGTAGGGCTTTAGCTTGTCACCTTCACGGAAGCTGCTTCTGGAGCAATCCCGTGTGCAGTCCTTCGACGAGCTGTTTCCACGTGCAGGGTTCACACTGTGCAGACACCGCACGGGCAGGCTGGCCCCTTTTGGAGGAGCTGTGCCTGTAGACGGCCTGATTCACCTGCTCCTCTTGGAGTGTTAGGTGCTCTGAGGGGGAGTGGAGGTGGCCAGTCTTGGGAATGTGGTGGCTCAGCCTGCCCTGAGGTCTGTGGTGGAAGGTGGCTGAGCCTCACTTGGTTT